GGCTGTCTGTGGTCCATCCACTGGTGCTGGGGGTGGAGACCGAGTCATGGCTGTCTGTGGTCCATCCACTGGTGCTGGGGGTGGAGACTGAGTCATGGCTGTCTGTGGTCCATCCACTGGTGCTGGGGGTGGAGATTGAGTGACGGCTGTCTGTGGTCCATCCTTTCATGCCGTCCTTATGGCATAAGGAGGTATGATGCTGCGGTCGTTAAGCATTCAGCTGCTAAGGAAAAGGCAGATCCTCTGGAGAAAGACACTGCCGTCTTCTTCCGTGAAGATTTCAACCTTGCAAACCCTATAGGGCAGTTCTACTGTCCTGTTGGGTCACTAGGAGTCAGAATTGACCCGCTGGAAACAGGTTTGGTGGGTGTTACAGCGTTCCTAGCTCCCAAGACGAAATGACTATGTCATAAGGCAATATAGGAGTCCTGCTGCTGGGTCGTTAGGTGTCAGACGCATAACAACCCTGTGTACAACAAAATGAAATGCCGCCTGGTCCTGCACCGGCCTCACCGTTGTTCTGCTTGAGCCTACGGCTGTGGCCACTGTGTCAGTCCATCTCATCCAGGGGCTTCCTCTTCTTTGCCTGGTCTCTACCAAGCATGATGTCCTTCTCCAGGGACTGATCTCTCCCGATGACGTGTCCAGAGTACCCGAGATGAAACCGCACCGGCTTCACCTTTAAGAAGCATTCTGGCTGCTCTAAGATTTCTTCTTCTAAGAGAAATTAGTTTGTTCCTCTGGCAGTCCACAGGATATTCAGTATTCCTTGACAACAACCCAAAAGCATCCATTCCTTTGGGGTCTTCCTGACTCACTGTCCAGCGTTTGCCGTGCATATCAAGCTATGGGAAAGGCCAATAGCTTGGGCCTAGGTGTGTTTTCGTCTTCGGAATGACATCTTTGCTCTTTGACACTTTAAGGAAGTGTTTGGCGACAGATTTACCCGATACAATACAGCAGTTGATTTCTTAACCGAATAGTGATTGTGGATCCAAGCAAAACGAAATCCTTGACAAATTCCTGCTGTGCTAGTTACACAATTTCATGTCAACTTGATAAATAGAGTGAAGAGGAGGGGTCGACATTGTCAAAAAAAAAAAAGAAGAAGAAGAGGTGGGGTCTAGCCTGTCAATCAGGTCACAGCCTGATCATGCTTCCTGTGGGTGTGGCCTTCTCACGAGGATTCTGGGAACTTCCTGCTTTCTCCTGAGAGTCAGGCCACACGCTCT